AAATATTCTCACAAAATTAAAGATCAACTCCTTCAACCAAGTTGCCATACGAGATGTCAGATAAATGATACGAAACTAATACAAGACAAAAAGAAAATTCACACCAACAAAAAAAAAAAGAAAAAAGAAAAAACAGTTTAATGTACTAAAGTACTTTTTCGTGTTTTGTTTGTAGTATTTATTTTAATGTACTTCTTTTTCATGTTTTATTTGTATTTGTTTTTTGTTTTGAATTGTGCAAATGCTATACAAGGTTATTATTCTTTATTTTCTGCTTCTTGCATAGATCTTTTAAATTTAAATGGTGTGACCTAGAGTAATCATTGATTATCCTTCATGTTATGATAGTTATACATGATGAGATTGGATTTCTTTAAAATAAATTATCCTTCATGGTAATAATTGATTATGAAACCAAAAAAGCTGTCAATGGAAAAAATAATAATATGAAAACATCCTCTGTGGAGCGGACTCATAAAAGAACATACTAATGTTTAAAGAGAAAATATTTTGGCATTCCAATCCTTATGTTATGTCACGCTTGCAGACAAGACATATATATTCTCATGGAACCAAAAACATTCCCTGATGGTTTTGTCCCCTTTGACTACTTCTCTGTTTGTTTGTTTTCAAATAAAACTAGGTGTACAAGTAAGTTTGCGCTCGTCTCAATTATTTTATTGAATATCCACATTGATATGGACGGAGCTAATATACCGAAAGAAGTTCATTGGAACTTTCTTTGTTGAAAAAAAGATTAAAATTATTTTATATATATAGTAAATGTTGAATCCTCAATTAGCTTCTTTGTATATTTGATTGTTTTATGCATTGAATCTCCTTACTGAAAATTTTACACTTGGTGATTTGGGCTAATCACTATTAGTATTGCCTCTATCTTAATTCATGTGTCATACTGTTGTTTCTAATATGTTAAAAAAAGAATATCATATTTTCTTATTTGAAAATAATTCAAATTTAAACTTGTCATTTTTATAGCCGAACAAACATCAATGACTTGTTTTATCGTACTGAAACAGGGGAGTATATACATCATACTGTTTGGTTGGTGAATTCAAGGACTTAAAACCGAAAACCAACATGAAAACAGATGATTGAACATGATTAACTCGGAATAATGAAATTTTTAGCTTTAAAATTTAGACTCATTTCATCAAAAGGAAAAGATCATTGGAATTTTATAAAGCACATTGAATGATTCCTTCAATTCTACTTAACTCATCTAGCTTATACGAGTAGTGAACAAGTATAGAAAACTTTAGTTGATTGTTTACCACATAAAGCATAAACATTTGAGTTGTTGAATTTCAACATGTCAATTAATATATGTACTACCAAATTCTAACTTAATATAGCTTTAGATGGTTACTCAACTAATACAGTAATTATTATCTTAGAGAGTCACTTTTTTCTTGATTACAAACTTTTTTTCAATAAAGAAAGTGACTTTCTGAAATAATTACACTATTAATTGAGTGACTATCTAAGAAATCAACTAAAAATTTAAACAATATTTAGGATTTTAAGGATGGTGATTCATGTTCAAGAAAAAGGTGGATAAGTATGGTGATTAAGAACCAAATTAGTTTCAACAAGAATAGGACATCTAAATATCAGGTATGAGTATGATATTAATGTATACCAGCGCAACATAATAATCACTCACAATGACGCTGAATTCTAAAATGGAATGAATATGTTATCACCTAGCATGGTTCAAATTAGATCAATATCCACTCACAATGATAAAGATGATCTACTTTGTTTCCAAAATATCACCTGGTTGATGTACATCTTTTCATAGGATTCTAATATTTTATGGACTTATAAGATCATTTGGCACAAACTGCATGAAAAATGTTTACAAATGATTAAAGTTGTATGATGGGGCGTCGCTTTTGTCCATTTACTTTATTTAACCTTTATTATGAATCACCAAAAGTGTATGCCACTTTTCTTTTCATGCACACAAAATGAATTGTTTCCTACACCATCAAAGAAACTATTCATAAGTAATGATTAGCAGCCTAATGTCTTCAAAATTGAGCAAGATTATTTCGAGCGCCTGAATAATTTTGTTCATTTAGACAAAGTATTAAAACACAAAATATAGTTTTAATAGCAAATACAACTTATTTGTTTACCTTAAGAAGACAAACGAGAAATATACCAAAAGAGACACAATAATTTAATCTGCTTCAGTCTATCGACTTAATCCACAAGAAAGAGATGAACAATCCACTATAGAAAAAAGAGTATAGAGTACATAGGGAAATAACCTCACACAATTCACTCGGAATAAAAGGAAATTCACACAAGTGTTAACGTAACATTTGTGTCTCACATTGACTATATTATGTTCTACCACATTGTCACGCCCCGAGCCTACACCCTGGGCGGGACTGGCACCCGGAGACCATTGCTGGCCCCAAGCGAACCCTTGGCCTGACTTTCTTAACTCAGCGGAAACCTGACTCAACAGAATAACTCAATGCCATGCAAAGACATAAAACAACTTAACTGATAAAATCTGGCCCAAAAGGGCAACTCGAGTCTCAAAATAGAATATTTACATATATACATAGATGAGAGACTCAA